CTAGACACACTACAATCATTCAACTAATAGCAACGACACTGCATGCTAAAAATAAATGAACTGGAGTTCCTGTTTTCGAGATCTCTTGCTTTAGATTCAGCTCCATTGCAAATAGACAAAGAAGCTTTTAAAGGCACTTCTGTTTATTCATGGTTTCTCCCCAGGCCCCAGCTCTCTAAGAGGGGATACTTTTTAAAAATTTTCTTAATATTAATTAATATTCTACTGATAAGATATCAACCTCCAAAACAGTATTAGGTATTGTGAACAGATAATGACTATGGCTACTTTTGTAAAACAAATTAGCTTTATTGAGATAAAATTTTATACAATATAATTCACCACTTTTAAGTGCACAATTTGATAAGTCTGGGAGAATGTATACATGTATGTGACCATCACCAAAGCCATGATACTAAACATTCCCATAAACCCCCAAACTTCCTCATTCCACTCAATTCCTTTCCCCTACTTCCTGGCCCCTAGCAACTTGATCGGCTATCACTATAATTTCACTATTGAATTCTTCTAAAATTTCATATAAATGTAATCTCACAGTGTGTATCTAATTCCTTGATTCTTTCAATTAGCATAATGCCTTTGAAAAAGCTGTCGATGTTGCAAAATTTACAAGAAGATCATTTACTTTTACTACTAAGCATCATGTGATTGTATGGCACACGACAATTTATTAGTTCACTACACAATAGACATTTAATTTCTTAGCAATTTTTGGTTATTGTAAATAAAACTGCATAGAATATTCAAGTACAATTCTTTGGGTGGAAATACATTTTCATAAATCATACATCAAATGTATTTTAACTTTACTTGAAAACCTTACTTCACATCATATGCTGGTGCCCATTTTCTAACAAAACATTTACTTCAACCTCTCATTTAAAAGTAAAACCCCCTACCTAAACAAATATTACTCAAATACTATACAAATTATTGAGGATACTGAATAATACAAATCATTGACCAAAGTAACATTTTTTAACCTATTCACATCAATAAGAGATTGCCTATGTATCTACACACACACACACACACACACACACACACACACACATATTGTATATGTACTCTAATCTAGGATATGAAAAATAGAGCTCACAGTCTGGTAAAGGAGCTGAATTACACTGATTCAAAATTATTTTGATTATTTATAATGAGAAGAAAAGCAAAATAGTTTTGACCTCTGCTACTCAAAGTGTGGTTCCATGAACCAGCAGTATTGGCATCACCTGGGAAAGTGGTAGAAATGCAGAATCTCAGCCCCACCCTCTGATTCACAGGGCAGGATTTGAATTTTAACCAGATTCTTCCTCAGTGATCTCAGTGTTTAAAAAGCATTGGTCAAGGAGAGAGGAAATGAAACCCCCTGGAAGGATCAGGGCCTCAGAGAAAATAATATTTGAGAGGAACTAGAAGCTCCTTCTAAGTCCATGGTACATCCCTTAAACAAGTATTTAGGGCTTGACCTTTTAAAATTTCTGATCAACACAATTCTCCCTGAAGGAACTACCCAGATTCTCTTTGAAGAGAAGTGGCTTTGAGAAAAATTTCTCACCATTCTAGGGAATGTTTGTGGTTTCTTTTTAAATTCCTTGCACACTTGTCCATCCTACCCTTCCATCTACTCCAGTATCACTTTGATACTACTGGTAAGACTCCTTTCTTCACATTATACCTATACCATACACTTCATTCTACTTCTGTTTATTCACCTAAAAGTGCCAAATGAATCACCGGCCAAACATTCAAAACAATATTTCCAATTATTGCTATTTACAACGTGGACCCAAGAATTACACACCTTAGAGTTATGAAGAACAGAAAGGTTGAGGGCATTTAGGCGAGTAACATCAAGCCACTGGCATTGTAAAAAAATTAAAAATTTGTCAAAGGTGATCTTGCCAATAAGTAATGGAATTGACAGTATAGAAGAGCGTTTTTATGGGGATTATCCTCTAGCACAATASTATTTACTTATTCCATAAGAAAAAAAAAAACAAGTCAATACAGGAGTAAATTAATGGCTATTGCCAAACACACTCATATTCATTTTGTTCCAATCCTCTCTGATCTCCATGGTGTTCAATTCCTGAACCACTTCCTCTTGGGTGCAAGGCACCAACCTGAGTCTCAGTAACTTCTCTCCCTGTGCTTCTAGATCTCTTTAGCCTCTGCCCACCTCAGGACAGGTGCTCTCMGGCTGCCATCTCAATGCTGTTTTTAAAGCCACATTCTCACTTCTTCTTACCTCAGCTATTCCCAATGATCTCTAATCTTCCCCCCCTTAAACCAGCCCATACATTATACCTGGGGGGAAATTCTCATATCTCCTCTTGTTACCAATCCCACAGGAAAACTTTCACTGGTTTCTCATTGTCTGACAAACGAACATAAAAATCACTAAGACTAGCATTTAAGACTACTATAATTTGGTTCTTCCATTTTACTTCTTCATCTTTATGCAATTTGTTCTTGTAGACAGCAGCATAGGTAGGTGTTAAGATAGCTTGCTTAACCATCAGACCCCCTGAATGTGAACATCAATTTTTCCTTTCACTAGCTAYATACTCCTGGAAATTTGCTTAACCTCTATATACTTCAGTTTCCTCCATAGGATGTACAATAACAACAGCAATGTACAATAATACAATAAGGCTATTGTAAATAATAAATGTAAAACATCTAAGTATCTGGCACATGGAAGGACTCATCTATCCTTGTCTTAATTCTTTTCCAACTAGTGAAGTACTAGCTACTGTACACCAAGCCTTCACTAAAAAAAAAAAAAAAAAAAAAAGAGCTTCAAAACTTCCTGATGATTCTTAATGACTTGTAACATTGTGCTAATAATGATAGCTTCAAAAAAATTAAGTTTCCATTACTGTGGTAGCTATTATTTCTTCACATTAATTTTAACATTTCAAAGTATATGTGACATGAAATCTTCCTAATCCACTTCTGAATATAAAATGCAAGACACTCAAAATAGTAGTAAGTCTTCAGCAAACCTTAGACCCTATTTCTGGCTATAGAAAACCCATCCTTTTATGCCTTTCATAATAAAACTGCTCTGAGACTTAAAAAGCAAACACATAACAAATCCGGATTTAAACCCAGCATTTCAAACTAATATCGTAAAGCAAGAAAAAAAAAATCAAGAACTCTACAAATAATTTGAGTTGGCAAATAGGTATCATTCATAATAAAAGTGAAGATTGACAGGAAAGCCAGATGCACACATCACCAAGATTACAAGCCAGATTCTATTCAATTAGAGGTTCCAGGAAGAAACTTGAGTATCTAGCCCCACTGCCACCCTATCTGGTGGCAGGCAAGAGCTGTGCAAGTCTAATAAATGGCTCAGGACTATGCTGGGGAAGGAGTTTGAAACCACCACAAATAATGTCAGTGTGAACAAGCAAGAGTTAGAGACTCCTAAGGACAAAATCCAAGACCATTGTGATTATCCAAATTTTCCAGAATCACAAAAGCATAATGTTCTCTGTCAATATGAGTCCTTTACAAAAAGATGTCCAAACAACTGGGCAATGTAACAAATTTGCTAGAATAATGGTTCTTGAACCTTAATGAATCAGAAAGACTACCAAGTTTCACTGGTTAAACATGTAGCCAATTCCTAGTGGGCACTTTTGTTTTAAACTTTAGAAAAAAAGGTAATAAGCTGGTGTCCTAAATTTGTGCATGAGTCTTCAGGAATAGTAAGGAGAATAAACAAAGTTGTTTAAGGGAACTTTAATGAAATTAATTACTGCTAATTGCTGTATGTAAATACAAAGGGAATTTGAATTAGTTTTATTGAGAAAACAAGGCCCAGAAAGAGCAAGTCTGTCTGTCTGTCTGTCTGTCTCTCTCTCTCTCCCTTTCCCTCTCCCTCTCCCTCTCTCCATTTTTAAATGTTTTCATTAATGCAATATCATCATACATAATAGTGGGGTTCATTTGGACATAATCATAAATGCATGGAATTTAATTTGCTTAATTTCAGTCTCTATTGCTTCATTTTTTCCCTTCTCTTCTCCCTCTTCATATTCCTTTTCATCTAGTGGTCTTCTCTCCATTTATTAATTGTATTTTTATTGATGCTTCATAGATATATATAAAGGTGGGATTGTGGTATATTTACACAGGTACATAGCCTAGCTTTGTCAAATTTATTCTGTATTTCCTCTTTTTTCCCGTTTTTCCTCTCTTCCCCCTCAAGCTCCTTCCTCTATTCAACTAATCTAAATCCTCTCCCTTTTCCTTTTCCTTTGCTCTGGCTTCCGAATTTGAGAAAAAACATTCTATCCTTGACTTTCTGAGTCTGGTTTATTTCAGTTAGCATGAAAATAGCAAATGCCATAATTGTGTTGTTCTTTATGTCTGAGTAAAACTCCATTGTGTATATATAATTTATCGTCTCAATTTATTCATCAGTTGACGGGTACCTGGGCTGATTCCTTAACTTGGCTATTGTGAATTTTGCTGCTATGAAGACTGATGTTTCTGCATCAGTGTAGTATGCTGATTTTAGTTAAATACTAAGGAGTAGGATAACTGGGATATATTGAGAGCAAATCTCTTGCCCGAGGTTTTACAGTTGTTAATAGAATTTCTACAACATTTGCATTGCACACGATGTCATAATTTTAACTTCAGTTTGCTTACTCCTTGCTTCCATATTAGCTTAGAACAGCCACAGAGTAGGCATATTTGGATTGAAAATAAAAATTGTAGTTAAAATTTCTGTAGCTTGACTTTGTTTTTTTTGAAAAGGCCTTGATTGGTTATACTGACATTCTCATGGGCCTCCCGGGCACCTGCAAAACTGGTATAAGGGCAAATAACAAGCAGCTGTATAAACAGAGGGGTTTTTTTAACACCACCTGCTAAAAACAGAAACATTGTATAAGAAAATTTCAAATGTTCAAACTTACATGGAAAGAATCTAAGATAATGATAGAGTTATCTTTGCTTACCGGCACTTTTAGGAATCTGTTTCTCAATGGCCCTCTGTTCCTAAAGATGAAGAGTGTGGTTAGGAGCAACCCAGATGTGAAGAAGGTTCAGGAGGCTGTCTGCTAAATTGTTGAGGCCTTCTACCACAAATGATCCGAGACCCAGGGTTTGGCTGTTTCTTCCCTTGCAAGTGCTAAAATAAAACATAAAGATATCTTACTTTTAAGAATAGCGAAGATACTCAAGAAAACTCTGAAGCCATTAAAAAAAATTGTAATGAAAGCACTATTTTAATAAACTCACTTCTGAACACCTATACACTGCTTTACAGGGTAACAAAATTACTAAATGCAAAATCAAAATGAAATAAACAAAAAAATTCAACAGCCAAATCAATAGCATAAATTGTATTACTGCCATTCTTGGCTGGTCTTCCAAAGGATCCTGCTCAATCTCCTCAAGAAAAATAACATATCCAGCTCAATTAATCCAAAGCAACCTGATAATGAAATAGCCATCTGTTTTATTTTTCAGCTTCTCTCCACACGTATAAAGCTTTATTGCTAAATGCAGAGGTGAGCGAAGGAGCTTGCACCTCAAAACCTTAAGATGAAAGAAAGAGAGCAGAAGGAGGTTGAGAATAACAGAAATATCTAGAAAAAAGCAGGAAGGAAGTGTGGGTGAATTAACAAGACCAACTAGTGTCAGAAAGTGTTGTAGACCACTTCCTGAAGAAAAAAAAAAAAAAAAGGTTGAAAAACATTCTTACATTGCTCCTACTATAGCTTTTCTTACACAGACTAACACTGACACAGAAATTAACCAACAAAAACTGCATGTTTTCTTCTGTTAAAAATTATTTGTATTTTTAAAACATTCTTAGGAAACAAATATCAAAAATGCAAAACTCTGGTGATTATTTTGTATCAGAAGCTACTAATAAATCTAATGTCTCAACAGGAAATAATTTTGCTTATTATGAAAATCATATAGTAATATGCAAAAACAGATTCCACCAAGTAAAAAAAAAACAAAACAAAATATTTAAAAGTTGAGCACACAGAGATAATATCTATCTGTTTGTTGTATGCATGCAACATTTGATTTACAGGTCCTGGAGACAAAGTCAGTCAATTGATAGTCTGAGTTATGCAATACAGGGGATTTTTTTTTCTGAAAGTGCATACATCTTAATATTCATAGAGCAAAGGAAAATGATTCTTTTCATATATTTTTATATACATTATACTTTGAAGTACTAAATATTTGACCCATTTAGAAACTAGAAGAAAAGCAAGGTGGTACTCTTTAGTGGCTACTATTATAATAGAGGAGAACTCTTCACCATGAGACAGATTTTTGAACCTAAAGAAATTATAGAACATGACAAATTTGTGCATCGGAATTATTCTCCCCAAATTTATACAAAGTACTACTCCTGAGCATTTATTATCTTCCATCCACTATCACTTATTACTAACTGGAGTAAAGGATCAATTACAAGTTGAAAGAATCTTTTAGGATTATTTAGTCTGAATAAGTTAGTAAAGAAAACTCAAGCAGTGTCTTACCAGAAAGAGCTGAGGATGGGGATTTAGTTTTACCCAGAAAAGACTTAAATCAAGGAAAGAAACAAAATAGCCCAGTTTCATGTTTGAAGGGCCTTCAAGAAGAAGGGGAATTAGCTTAGTTCTGAAGGCTTCCAGAACTAAGGTCAAAAAGGTCAGGGAATGAAAAATTTAAGGAGGTAGGTCTGAGCTCTCTCTGTACTAGGAAGAACTTGATCATATTTAGGGTGCTTAAAGATAATAATAGGTTGCATGTTTGGATAGTGGGTCACCAAATACTAAAGATATTCTTTTCTAAGGTCCTCTTGGCAGGGGTTTGTAGAGGAATGCTTATTCAATCTTAATCTCCATTGAATCATGTGAGCACTTTGTTCAGCTGCCAATTCTCAATCAGGTTGGAATCACAGGTCTGATAATGTGCACTTACAGCTAGCTTCCTGGTGCTGCTACACAAAGTGTCTAAATATGTGGAGCCCGGTATTTTCCAGTATCCCCAATATTATACTCCAAGTAATAATTAATTTTGCATACTTCTAAAGAAAATGTATTTCACTTCCATTTTTTTAAAAAAATGCTTCTTTGAATCTGAGCTTGGAAAGTAATCGAAAACAATGGACGAATGGAAAATGTATATTAATATTCTACAGTTAATAGAAACATTGAACCTTAAAAAAAGGCTATAAATTAATTTTCCCAGTGATTTCCATTACAAAATCATGTCTCTAAAGGGGATGTCTTTGTTAGTGTGGGGCTTYGCACTGTTTTCCTAGCGCTGGAATTTCACCTTCCTACCTCCCATCTGAATCATAAGAATTTCTTCAATGTTTTGAAAGTCCAGGTTCTTGCTTGGTCTCACTTTATTCTACTCCTCAATTTATCTAAAAACTTTGGGCTTTCAATTACAAATCCTGTGTTTTACTTTTCCTGGAGCAATATGTTGTTATCTGAATACATAGCTCTTCCTCAAAATTTAAAGTATTCTTATATTTCTCTCCATACTAAACAGTCCTGCAATTAAAAGGGAACCAGGCAACAGGGAAGGGAGGAATCGCTCAGTGTTAGAGCACTTGCCTCAAATGCATGAAGCTCTGGGTTTGATCCCTGGTACCCCCACAAAATTTTAAAATTAAAGAGAACTGGTTTGGTTTCTTGCTTTTTCCTTGACTGTAAAAGTCCCCCTCCCAAAGGCTTTCATTGCTTGGCTTTGCATAAAAGTTACAAATAACATCCTATTTGACTTATAAAAATACCCTTTTCAAACTACTTATATTAGTTCATTTGAAATGAGCTTAGATTATTCTGGCCCTTCTGAAGTATCTCCTATCAGTGAATTTTTCTTCTTTACCTCTTCTGCTATTTTTAAAAGAAAAAAAATGAGTTAGGTTAAGAGTGCCTAATTAGATGAGTAAACCACAAAACTTTAAGATTCCTGCACTGTAAACTGTCCTGCTTTTCACAGCAAATAAAAGCATGTGATAGTATTTATAACCACTATCCGATGGATGGTCTCTTAAGGCCAAGTTACAAATAAGGGGCAGGTCTTTATTTGGAGTTCCTTATAATTTATTATTATAAAAAACCAATACACATGATAATATGAAATCCTATAATCTTAAGTTTACTTCCTAATATCAGAGGATTAATACCTAAGGCGATGTGCATTTCGTCAAATTCACTTCTTGGTAAACTATCTCTGCATGGTGTTTTTACCTTCTAGAGTAACTTGTTGATTTTGTCAATACGGAATTTCCCAGTGCTCTTGGAGGCCAGATACGGTTTAAAGCACCAGTGATACAGTCATGAAGAAGAAAAAAGTTTGCAACCCAGCAAGAGAGGCAGACATTAGCAAGTCATCATAAGTGATTATCAAATTACAGCTGTGGCATATTTAGCAAGCTGCAGGAACTGACCCAGGTAGGGAAGGACCAGAAGCATCTCTGAAAGATAAGCAAAAGTGAACCAGTTGAAACACAGTGGTAAGGAAAAACATTCCAGACAATAGGAAACAGCACTGACAACTATTCTGAGGTGAGAATGAAAATGGTACCCTGGAAGAACTGAGCCTATGGGTAGCAAGGATGCTGGTGAAAATAATAACAGCTGATCTTTGCCGCATGCATACACTTGCATTTCACATGCACAACTTCATACAATCCCCACAAAAGCACTAAGATGGGGACTATTCTAGTCACATAGTAAGGAAACAGGCCTAAAGAATGACTCACCCAAGGTCTCAAGCTAAAAGGTACCCAGGACAGTTTGGGCCCAGGCAGTTAGATATTCCTACAGCTCCCCTGGAGCCAGCTCAGCTGGGAGCTTTCCTCATGCTCAAAGTTCATTCTGTTAATTTTCATTTTTCATAGAATGACATTGTGAAATACTAAGACATTAAACAATAGCCCACTCTCACTCCCAGAGTCTTAATAAATGTCTGATTATCAGTTAGAATCTACTTTGTTAGAAAGTATTACACAGATTGTTTAAATGTTAATGAAATAAATTCTCAGGAACCTATTAACCAAAATTACCATATCTTCTTGGAGTTTTTAAAATACAGATTTATGTTCCTTTCCCTCCAGGAAAAAACACTATCATAAGTTTGATAGCTACTCAATCCACTTTTTATTTACACTCACACACACTTTCATAAAAGTTATATGACAAATGATGTTTAACATTTACATAGTAAACACATAATATTCTACTGACTTTAAGACCTACCATGTAACGCATCTAAGGTCTGGTTTATTCTTTTTCAATGTCATAGAGTATCCTATCAACCAAATATTTCATGAGCTATCTATTCCCTAGAGTAGACATTTAGGTTGTTTTCAGAGAATTTATTTAAATATTATTTTAAAGTCAAATATCTTTTTGCCAGTTCAGTAAAAACAGTTTGCTAAGCCAGGAAATCCTTCAAATTGCTAGAAATATTTTAAGATCAAAATTTTATTTTCAAACAGTTTCTTTCTAAAACATAACCTTTCGAGTCATATAAAAATACCTAGATATCTAAAATAGTTACATCTTTGAAAAGTAAAAGYAAACAGTATTTAAACTGAGAAAATAAATTTCTAATTTATGTGAATCTATAATAACCCTGTTGGTATGGTTTGGATCTGTGATGTCCCTGAAAGTCTCGTGTTGAAAGCATGGACCCCAATGTAGCAAGGTTTGGAGGTGGGGCTTTTAGGCAGGGATTGGATCATGAGGGTCATGAGAGTTTATCAGCAACTGAGTGGACTACCCCGGAGGCAGGGCCTAGTTGGAGAAAGGTCACTGAGTAGGGGGGGGGGGGCGGGTGTGCCCTGGAAGGGGTTTTGTGTGTGTGTGTGTGTGTGTGTGTGTGTGTGTGTGTGTCCTGGCTGCCAGGAGCTGTGCAGCTTTCCTCTGCCACACCCTTCCACCATGATGTTTCTGCCTTGGAGCCAGGGGACCATGGACTGAATCTTCTGAAACCTTGAGCCAAAATAATATTTTTCCTCCACTAAGGTATTCTTGTCAGGTATTTTGGTCACAGGATGAAAAGCTGACAAGCATGCCTGTTGAAACAAAATATAATGAAGAGAAAGTAAGTACAGAAAATAGTCTTTCTACAGCTACTGTCTCTTCACGATAAGCACTGGCTGCGCAGAACAATCAGCCTGTTATAGAAAAACACACCAAATGTTTCTCTGGAATACTTTGTCTTCTGTTTTGACCAGAAAATAATCCAAGGTACAACTTTACGGAAAAGTTACCAAACTTTTTGAGAATCGAAGAATGTAAAGTGCCTACTACGCACAAGAGACAATGTTCTAAAAAGTAAACAATTAAACTAAACAATAAAACGCCTCTTGTGGGATATTGAAGTGGTTAGACCTATAAATGCTGTAACTATAAATAATGATTTGTTCACATTAATGGCAATTTTTAGCTCAAGGACATTGTATGAAGGTTTATTATCAAATGTAAACTAGAGGCAGGGCTACATGTATGTGAAGATTCATTTACAGGAGTCCTATACTTTTAATATTATCTTCTATAAAGAAGAATTTGAGAAAACCTCAAAAGGTAGATATTTTGAGATATGGGTAATCATTTTACTAATGACTGTATTCTTCACACTCTGAAATAATCCAGTCATGAATATACAAAAATAAAAAAAAATAAAAACAAAATTGAAGAGAAAGAAAAGTCTCTTCTAGTCAATTTCCAATGAAGTATATACCATTCCTAAGAGGGTAAATAGAAAAAGAAATTTGGGCTGCCAAGGAAAGAAGTTAACACCAGCATACCTTGGGGGTGTTGCATGGAGTCCAACTATCACAAACAACTAGAAAACATTTAAGCACATTCCATGGGCAAGCCAACTAGAAGTTTCCTAGTTCAAACCCCAMCAATCCTTGTGGGCTAAGGAAAATTCTCCCAAGATTCAGGAGGCAATCCTGAATGGCTCCAAAATTCATCCCACACTTTTTATAGAAAATAGTCCAGGCAGAGAGAGCAGCTCCATCTCTGCCCACCTATCCAGGAATCCATCTGGTATATTTACTATCCATCTATTCATGGACCATGGAATTATAGGATGCAAGGACTGAGTTCAGAGTTTTAAAGCTAAGTCCATGTAGTACACATTTAAACATACAAACATAAGATAAACACCCTTAACCTCTTAACCATAGGTTGAAAGAACACTATTTTAATTTTGTCAATTATGCAAAATTAAAACTCCTTCTCCAAAGATCCACCAGCTGACAGGGTCCTAACAAGAGAATAAAGAATGGCATATAGTCCAGAAACCAAAACTGACATAAGTTCAACTTCTGAAATTTTCCTAAGTTTGTGATTTTTTTTTTTTAATGTCTAGAAAACTTTCCCATAGTGATGAGTAATAATTGCTGGCTTCTTCACAAAAGGGAAGAGGAAGTTGGGGAGTGCACATCTACTCTGTAATCACTCCAGGCTGGGGAAGTCAGAGACTTAAGGACAGTCTGTGCTAAGAGCATTTAAAATAAATGTCTCCAGCAGAGTCCCCAGATCCCCAAGGGAGGACAGGAACACCGAATGCAGGAATTGGCCAGAGCCCCATGGAATCACCCTGGGGATTTCATTACAGTACCTTTCTTGTGATTTCCCTAATGCCAGAAACTGAGCAACAAATTAAAAAAAAAAAAAAAAAAGAAAAAAAATAGAAAAGTTGTATTGAGGTTTGAAACCAACTTTTGCTAAAGAAAGTATATTCGGGGGCCTAATAAGCTCTGCCTAGTTCTTTATTACTAATGAAAATCTAATGGTTGGACTGCTCTTTTATCTAAGGAATTTTTTATTATCTCAAATGATATGCATAAGGGCAGAAAAATGAAGTCTTCTTTTAAAACATGCCAACCTGTTCGAGGAATTTCATTTTAGAAATACAGTGAGCTGCTTTATTTGTTTATTTTGTTAATGATGATTCTGAAACAGAGAAACCAGGGGAAACTGCATGAGGGACATGGCCCCAGTGTGAGTCTGTGAGGATGGGGAAGGACACTTTGGGAAAGATCCAGATGAGGCGTAGAAGGGCTGATGTACAAAGCTCAGCCTGGAGCACTTCAGGAAACCAAAGAGGCTTTGTCTAAAAGTGCTAGTGAAAAGCTGAATGGAGAAATGAAGAAAAAGCCATACAGGGCTACTGAAACTCCTGTATTTCTATGAGACACATCACAGACAGCAGCAATCAGGGGTAAGAGAAGCAGTCTATGTATCCGTTCAGAGAAAAGCAGCTTAGACACAGTGTAACCACTTCTCAGTCTGGTGGTCCCAGGCCCCAGGTCCCAGGCCAGGTATGTTTCTGGGAATGCAAAGAACAGGGTCAGAGCACCCAACCTGGAAGATGTTCTATGTTCATGGGGCTACCAGAACAAAACACCACAAACTAGGTGGCTTAAATCAACTGAAATACTGGAGTCTAGAAGTCTGAAATCGAGGGGTTGGGAGGATGATCCTCCCTCTGAACACTGTAGGGGAAAATCTGTCCTTGCCCCATACGAGCTTTGGGTAGTTTGCTGGCAATCTTGAGCATTCCCTGGTTTGTAGGTGTATCACTTCAATCTTTCCATGGTGCTCTCCCTGTGTCTCTGTCTTCACATGGACCCCAGTCACATTAAGTAAGGGGCCTACCCAACTACAGTATGACCTCATTTTAACTTAATTACATATGACATAACCCTATTTCCAAATAAGGTCACTTTCTTAATGCTGAGTGATCAGGCTTTAATCTCTCATTTTAGGGGTGACACAAATGAACCTTTAATATCCTCCTAGGCATACCCAGTCCTCATGCTCATCGAAAAGGACCCTGATGTTCTGCAGGCATTCAGAATGTCTGGGAGCCCATAATAAAAGTTAAAGGGAAATGAACACCCCAAATCTAACCATATGATAGTGAAAGTCAGAATAGTAGTTACATCTAAGAGTAATAGTGACTGAGCCTGAGCATATGGTGCCCTCCTAGACATTTGGAAACATTCTATTTCTTCACAGGGAGGCAGCTTATCTGGATATGTTTACTGTGAGGAAATTTATTGGCATACTCACAGGATTTGTGTACTCCTACATCTCATATAGTTCCATAAAACTCTATTAAATATTAGAGAAGATAAGGGATCCTGGCAGCCTAGGTAGAACCTAGGCGGAGTCACACAGCTGAGAGTGAGCAGCTCCACCCTGTTGATTCAGACGCTTGTTTGGGTCAAGTAAACTTACCAATCAAGAGTCGTGCACTCCTAGGAGGCTGGTGTGTAACTGGAAATGCCACAGTAATTCACTTAGAAGAACAAGGAGGTAAGGGCGAAGGAAGGAGGCTATATCTGTGAATCAGCAAATTGATGACTCCTAAAGGCAAATTCACAGGAGATAATTAAAAAATTGTTTGATAAGCCCAGGCCCCGAACGAAGACACATTCTGTAGTGCTAGAAATATGCTGAGGCATTCTGCTTTGCTCTGGGTTCTCCTAGCCACTTCTCCCCAACATTCCATTTTCAGGTTAACTACAGTTCAAGTAAGTTCCAGTGTTTTCTCTCTTCTTCTCTTTTAACCACATCTAATTCCTCCTGGGGAACTTTAAGCTCTTATGGTTAGGGTCTGTTGAGTCCTGTTGCTTAATTTCTAAGGAAGAGAAATCACCAACAAAAGACAAGAGTAAAAAGTTGCTGGGCAGCTGGGCATGATGGCACATGCCTGTAATCCTAGCTGCTCAAGAGGCTGAGGCAAGAGCATTTCAGGTTGAGCCCAGTCTCAGTAACTTAGCAAGATCCTGCCTCAAAATATAAATAAATAAATAAATAAATAAATAAATAAATAAATAAATAAATAATTTTTAAAAAAAGGACTAGTGATGTAGCTCAGTCCATGAATTCAACATCCAATACTGAAAAAAACAAATGAACAAACAAAAACCCACCAACTACTGGGCAATACCAGACTTAGTAGAAATCATATCATATTTTGGGAGTAAAGGCAAAAGGTTTTCTAGAGTTAAAAATAATGCAGATGTTTAACATTAGATATTATATAAATTGAATAACTGATAAATCAAGGAATAGGTAAGACAAAGGAAGACAAATTAGCAGCAATGGCAATAGATACAAATCAAGCATTGATCAAAATGTACATATAAGTTATGAAACTTGTACGAAACCAAGTTGTAAATAGAAGAGGTACTGAAAGGAGGTACTGAAAGTTTCAAAGTCATAAATTTGTAGTGATTCCCTGACTGTTCTCATCAGATGTCTCCATCCTGTGGAAGCCCATTTAAACTATCAAATTTCATTTAGACTCCCATGCCTCAGAAAATGCAAATAAGGCCCGAGTCTAAACTCCTTGAAACTCGATGAGAGCTCTAATTATCAACTAGATAGTTAATGTTTTTTTTTTTATCATTTTCTTGTGAGAACAGCCATTAAAAGAGATGTATTGTATGCCATATGAAAAATACAAATCCACTTTTAGAATCAACATGCAGAATTTGACTGTTTAAAACTGTCTACATAGACCCACTTCCCTAAGTACATAGTTTTGTAGGGAATTACAAATATACAGACCACAGACCTGAATTCTGATCAAACTGGCTCCTGTGACCTCTCCTGACTCATTTCCTAAAGCACTTGACTAAACATCATGCTTTAATAACACGAAACTTGGAGTAGTTCTCCATCCTCCTCAAAACTCAGCACCCTGGATCATGTTGCTCCTGCTGCCTGGAATGCGGTCCTACCCTGTTTTCTCCCACCAACCTCCAATTCTTCAAGAAGCATTTTCCTGTCTACTTCTACAATGCATTTGAGTAAGAACAGAGGAGAGTCTGAGAAGGAAGCATATATAAAGCTGACTCAAGAACAGAGATAACTGTAACCATCATATTTTTAAACCATACAAAAACCTCAGACTAAAAGACGTTTAATTTTTCAATAGGCATCTGGAGAGCAAAGTTTTTATTCATTTAGTTTATTCTGAAAAATCCATAGTTCCATTGAACCAACAGATTTCCCCCCAGATCCACTGAAAGCATGTACATGTACACACACTTTGCATCCCTACTGTGCGTCCACGGATCCCTATGGATAGCACATGATGGATGCCCCCAAATTTGTTGTTATTTACTGAAGAAAAATCCAAAGAAATAGAATAACACACGTAGTTGTAATACAATCCAAAGCAAAGTAAGGTGCTAGAAGAAAACGTGAGAAAAAAATTAGAGTTATATAAGATCAGCCAGAAAGGCTTTCTGGGGGAAGTTAATCTTTAACTATTTGAGGAAGAACGGAGTTGTGACAGATATAATATAGAGCTGCAATGATAATAATGGCAGATAACATTGATTATACATTTGATATTTGGCAGAAACTATGCTGAACAATTTGTTTCTTTCAATCATCACTTCTTTTTAATAATCATCATTGCTTTTTTAAAAAAAAATTATACCTTTATTTTATTTATTTATTTTTATTTGGTGCTGAGGATCAAACCCAGTGCCTTGCACATGCTAAGAGAACACTCTACCACTAAGCCACAACCCCAGCCCCTCACCATTATTTTTTAATCATCAACCTAATCATCATAATAACTTTGGTCAGCATAATAAGGTGTGGACATTTTTTCACATAAGATAAGGAAGGTAAGGTTTGAAGAATTAAGCAACTTACTCAGAGTCATGTGGTGATAGGCTATGTATCTGGAAATGGAACAACGTTTATAATCTGGCTTGGATGGGAGAGTGTGAGATGGAAGGAGTAAACCCCTAATCCTCAGAGGAAAGCCCAAGCTAAACCCCTGGGAAGCCTGCCATGGCTTCAGGGTCAAATGGGAGAGTTAAAACAAAGTTCACTACAGGAGTGGGCAGAAAACTTTAAAGATCACTGGGAGAAATTCTCTTCCCTCTACCACAAACTTCTCTGGACTCCTACAGCTCTGCCACCCTGATGAGAACTTTTTGTCCCCCAGGGCATCTGTGTCTCACACTAAGTTAAGTGACACCTAATAGAAATCTTAAAATATCATAATAAGCAGTGGGAACTTGAGCAATGAAATCTCAGACTTATAAAGTGCTTAAAATTAAATGTAAAAAAATTGTGGACATAAAATGTTATACTATTAAAGAGGAAAATGATTTGTTATAAACATTCTTGGCACATTTATTTCCTCAGCAATGTAGCCACATCTTGACTAACTCAACCCAAATAACCACTGAAATAACTGAGAAACATAACATAACTTAGAAATTATGAGACTATGCTGAAAATTTACTGAGCATGAAAAAATTCGAGACTATCCATTCACTGACATTTATAGAGCATATCTTCTTTTTAAAAACATTTTTTTAGTTATACATGGCCAAAATATCTTTATTTTTTTTATTTATTTTGATGTGGTGCTGAGGATCGAACCCAGTGCCACATATGTTTGAGGCAAGTGCTCTTCCCCTGAGCCACAACCCCAGCCCTTATTTATTTTCTTTGTAAACTATATTTTTTTCAGAAAGAACAAAACTTTTTCCCTTATATATACAAAACCACAGGTTGAACTTGTTTTCTCCAAATGGGTAACATTTTGAGATGAGAAACTGATAATCATTATAATTATACAGATGAATGATGATCGTTATAACAAAGTTAAAATAGAGCTAATAAATTAACATTGTAAATCAGTAAGTGGACATTGAGTTATCAAATATTTGCTAAATATGGAATATGATGAATACCATGTCAGGTAAAGAGGACATAGAGGTGAACATTAGAAAACACCACAATTGTCCTCTCACACAGAAATATGTTCTAGAATCAATCAAAAGAAAATGGAAAGCCAAAAGTGAATTAAGTTACACTAATTTAAGAAACAAAAGAAAACGAAAAAGAAAGTTTTTATAATAGTGATGGCTAAACATCCTAGAATAAATGGGCAATTGATTAAATGTTAGAACTTCTGTTCATTTATGATAAATTGGTATTCCTGGCTTATCAGAAATAATTAATTTCAGGTAAGTTTGTGCCACTTGAAGAATGCCAAGATCATATATTAAATGAGTAGAAATGAAATTCTCAGACATATATAATCCCATGACAAATACTGCAAGAGTTCTATACATTTCCACTGACAGTGTTCTACACAGAGCAGGAGTCTTTACTGACAGGCTGCCCAGGAGCCCAGGGGCGGGGGAAGAGTTAAGAACTCAGAAATTGTAAGGCAAGGCCTTTTGCATTATTTGGAATATTGCCTCTTGTACCAGTATTGTCTTGTCAATGGATACTGTGATTTGATTGGATGAGATAATTAATTTGGGGTATCTAGTTTCAGATGTTATCAGTCAATTCCAAGACCGTGGAGAGACTCAATATTCAGTCTGGAGAGTGATTGGGATACAGAGCTAATATTGTGGCATTCTATGCATGAAGGTGAAATCAAGCGAGTATATGAGATATTTCAGAGGATATAAGGAATATTGTATAGGGTTCTCGGAGCCCTGCCCCTTAGATGTCCAGGCCTAGGTAAGAGAGGAAATCAGTGATGACTAATGAACAAAGAGAAGAAAGGCCAACCAAGAGTGAAAGTGTGTGTGTGAAGCCCACTGCCCACTGAGTCAGTCCTTAATTAAATATGTCTACTAGCATCCCATTCCAATTAGAATACAATTCAAACTCCTTTCCAAATTTGAAAGCTCCACAAAGTCTGCCTCCCTCCTATCTCACTGACTACACCTCTTTTCACTCTGCCCTTTGCAGTCTTCTTCAAGTAATCCAACCACTTTCTTTTCACATTAGCCTTTCATTTCTCAAGTACTCCAAATCCATTTGTGCCTCAGGACCTCTGTGGGTGCTATTCCCTCTGCTGGGAATTTTCTTTCTTTTTCCCTGTTTACTATACCCCATGTTGGTGTTATCTTTGCCACACTGATTCTATCTGAAATATGCTTTTCATTTATGGAAATGTACTTCATTCATTGACTCTGTGTCCCATAAAAACACAAAGCTCTATAACAGAACAGGCTTTGTTTTGTTCAACACTATACAATTCTCCCTCCATCCCCCAAGAACATCTGTTATATGGTGAATATTCAGTAATACTTGGGTGAACATAAACAAAGTTCCACCTGATGGACAAAAATGCAGAATGCGAACACTAAAAAACTATCTGTTCCCCTGTTGTCCTGCTTCTCCACACAGTGACCCATAGCCGCCGTCCCAACTCCAGTCCAGCTTCTACAACCTATGGAAGACCAGAGTAACTGTACATTTTTGGGGCCATTTTCAGCTTCCTTGCTTATCCTCTGGAGGCCTTATTCTCATCATCTAAAGATCTTTTCTTCCCCAATGAGATTAAAAAGTAAATCAATGCTTAAAAAAAATCTTCAAAGTCCAACGTTAAGTGCTATTGAACAAAATGAGACCATTTTCAGACCTTATCATTGGCTAGAGGTATCAGAAGGGAAAAGAGAGAATGAAGAAGAAGAGAATCTTTCCATTAAGCTATTCAGTATTTATGATAAGAAAAATCTCTTAAGGTCTGGTTGCTCCTTCCCTGTCTTCCCCAATGATTCAGGAAGAGGAAAGTCCCTGGCATCAGAATATTTTATTGTGTTGGTAAAAGATAAGATAGCCATTCCTGTTTGGATGGACAAGATCTCTCCCAGTAAAGAAACATGAACTTAGAGAAGACAATCAGATCCCACTGGCTCCTTACTCACAGAATTCCCACGTTTCTTAGCCTGACTATACTAAGATCAAGTTCCTGGCCAAGTCTGACAAACTACAGCTCATTCTGGGATGAGTCTTCACCATCAGGAGAAAGAGCTCCTGCTACCCCAAAGCATGAAGGGAAGTGTTTCTACAACCTGATATGAAATCATAAATACAGTTTACTGCTGAAACAGTATAGGGCCCAATACATACATTCTATTCCATACATCAAGCTCACCCCAAATTAGGCACATTTTAATCTAATACAAGGCTATTTATTATCCATCAGAGTTGAGACAGAGGTTCATTTCAACTTTGAGGAATATAGTCCTGAAAAGACTTCTCCCAGACAAGATGAAGCTGGTACTTGAAGGGTGAGAATGAAAATACATTCAGAAAGAAAAGGACTTTTAAATAAAACCCATTGATTATACTACAATAGTCTGGATTGGCCAGACACAGCATACCAAATTAGCACATCAAAAATGTGCAGAATATACCCTCACTGCTATACAAAAATACATATAAGAGGTTGTGAGGGGAATGGGAAAATAAACAAGGAGAGAAATGAATTACAGTAGATGGGGTAGAGAGAGAAGATGKGAGGGAAGGGGAGGGGGGATAGTAGGGGATAGGAAAGGTAGCAGAATACAACAATTACTAATAGGGCATTATGTAAAATTGTGGATGTGTAACTGACGTGATTCTGCAATCTGCATTTGGGGTAAAATTGGGAGTTCATAACTCACTTCAATCTAATGTATGAAATATGWTATGTCAAGAGCTTTGTAATGTTGTGAACAACCAATAAAAAATGTGCAAAAAATGTGCAGAATATAAAAATTATGTAATTGGTGAAAGTCTGAAGCTGTCAAAGGGAACAGGAGGCAAACTATGCAAAACAACCATCCAAGAAGCCCAACTTGATGGGTAATTAGGAAGATATAACGAGATCAAGGTATTTATAAATTGAGTGTGTGTGTTCATGTGCATGTGTATGCTTATGCACAAAAGCAAAGGATAAAGACATAGACAATGTATGGAATAATATGTGAAGAATGTGTGCTGTAGAGGCTAACTGAGATGATATAAATCAGGGATATATACAGATCTTCATATGATCCATTGTAATTCAACCTGGAGCAGTCTGATAGACATAAAAATTCTTGTCTTGGGTTGTTGGTAAGATAAAATGAAACAGCATATGAGAACACACAGAAGATCACAGTGGGTGCCATATATATGCTCCATGATTCTCTCATCACCTCAATAAAATATAATTCTAGAATGCATGTTAAACAGATGTCTGGTTCTCAACCCTGGATGGAACCATAATTTCCACGGAAGCTACCTGGCAGGCTAGACAATTAACCCATGATGCTTATCAGGGAAAAGCAGGAAGCATACCATTATTCATTTCTGTTCCATGATGTGAAACACAGAAATTATCTCCAACAGAAGAAAATGGTTATTAAATTCAGTCCTCTGCCACTGAGCTCCAGAATCAGAAACTTGAAAACTATAATTTCACAAAAAAAGTATTTTAAGGGTATGTCTCTTAATGGTATTCTTCTGCCAATACTGTCTATTCTCTCTGAGTCTCAAAAGATTTTTTATTGATTTGGGATACAATAACAAATTGAATATCTTCACTAAATCTACTTAAGTGTTATTAAAATTGCAGCCCCATTTAATTGCACCACTAAATCAAGACATAGTACAATCTGGGACTGACATTCAGTGACCATGTAAAAGTAGTTTTTCAAGGAATACATTATCAGGCAATGAATAACCACATCTCCCTTCCCACATTATAGTAAGGACAGTTTAGGAAGACAGATCAGGGCAATATAAACACTTTCTAGAAAAGTTCTCATAAAGTTGCCATTATCTAAAGTGCCTCAGAGGCAGTCAGTATTATTTTTAAAAAAAAAAAAAGAGGGGGCATTTTTGGAGATCTCGATTTGAAAAGCAGTCCTTAGTGAGCATAAAATGAAGCAATACAAATCGATTTACAGATGCTGAATTGCATGCTTTCAGATGGAAAATAACCTGGCACCCTGATCAGATCTTCCCAAATATTTAATATCTCCATGTAAAAAAGACAATTTCATGATCTGCAACTAGGGAAAGAAGTCTGAAGACAGAAAAGGCAAATATTCTGGATAGCATAATAGAGGAGACCATCTGAGATCTGATGGAGTTAGGCCTTCTGAAGGTCAGTGTGGACACCAGGAACAGAGAAAGAAGGGCTTCCAGCTGCTCTGCAGAGATGGTTTCCTTAGCCATCTACCTACATAGTACTGAGGTGGTCCTCTTACTGCAAATATGACTTGTGGCTTTAGAATCCGTGTGGCTTCTGAATCGCTAGCAATCATTATGTCTTTCCCATCCCCACCCCCACACAATTTTCAAACATTACCTTTGAACAGCACCCCCACCCCAGCTTGTTCTCTTCTCACTACCCGCAACCCTGCACGGCTGAAAATACTAAAAGAAGGCGCTTTGGGTTTGTTTTTGGTTACTGGAAATGGCTTTTTATAGATTCTCTTTTAGGCCAAAATAACAGCACACAAGAAAGGGGCTGAGTCGCCAGGAGCTCCGGAGCCAACAACCGCAAAATGACAAGTTTCTTCTCCCTTATCTTGAAAATTAACGGCAGACCAAATRCTGCAATTTTCTCACTGCCGCCCTTTTGCCCCAAACTACCTCTGTGCTTGTTTTGTTAGGTTTAGGTCTCTTGTGGCGGGAAGAAGGGTTTCTCAGAAAACTTTCCAAGATAAAAGACGAGAACCTTCCAGACCCTTTGCCCCACCTCGCGTCCAGACCCTTTTACAAGAAAACAATAGTGAACGTGAAATCGAGCACCCCCTTTGGCTTCTCAGTGCACAATCTGGCCTGCGTTTGACTAGAGGGTCCCAGTGCGGGTCCCTTTAGCTTCCCACTGCCCCTTGGTCCGGCCGCAGGGGCTATTTGTCTGTCTGATCCTCCCTGGCAGCTCCTGGACCTCCGGGCAGTCTCCTAGCTGTCGCCCCCGCACACCACGGCTGGCTCAGGGGTCCTAGAGCCCCCCGACTCCTTGACGCCCGCGCCTGCAAAGCGCCCTGAAGCTGGCAGGATGTGTTGAGGGGCGGACAGCGCACCGTGTCCCTCACCCCCAATCCTCAATCTCAGGGGCTCTAAAGCCCGGCCACTCAGACCCCAGGCCTCCACGACCCGGGTCCAGAAGGCAGACTTCCCGCATTACCAACCTCCCTCAGTGAAGCCAGCCAGAGAGTTACCCGCCAAGGCCCAGGCGCGACGACCGCAGAGGCGTGCGGGGATCCAGGGCCGGGCCCGCTGCTCTCCGCCCGCCTGCGCCGCTCGCTCCAGCCGACTGCTGCCTCTCCGGCGGCGCCTGCCGCATCGGGTCCCCAAGCCCTGGGCTGGCGGAAACTGGAGGAAGGTGGCGCGGGCACGATTCCTTCCCCCCAGCCCTGGCGGGGGAGCTGGAGAGGGCGCAGCGCCGCCCGGAGTTGGAGGCGCCCGCCAGCCCGCGCGCTGCCCGCCGCGCCCGGGTCTGGATTCCCCAGCGACTGCGCCGAGCGCCTCGGGAGCCGCAGGAAACGCCTCCTGCTCCGCGGTTGTCGCCACCAAGTTCGAGAAGAAAGGTGCAGTACAGATAGAAGCTGCGGGGCTCCCCGTTCCCGGAGGCGACGAGGCTGGAGCGCAGCGGAGCCCCTACCTTTCCGGCGGGGCGGATAACAGCCGCGCGCCCTCTTCGGGCGTCATGTACAGGAAAATCACCGCGAAGGGAGGGCGGGCGAAAGGCGGCGGGTGGCTTCAGGACAAGGTAGGAGGATCGGCTTCCACAGCCAAGAAGACACTCCCATCCCGCCCTGGTTTGTTTGGAAAGCTGTAGGAGCGAAAAGTGAGGGGCGGTCGGGTACTCCCCTTCCCCGCCGGCCTGGCTCTCCGCAGAAATAAAACAGTGAGGCTTGTCGCACCCCGCACTGTTACTTGAGGCGCGATAGGTAGTTTGGTCCCTAGCAGAAGGGGAAGTGTGTTTAGAGAGCCCCGGAATTCCCAGGCTCTGCTCTTTGGAGCTGTTATTTCAGGCAAAAGAACGAAAATGGGATGTGCTTTTTTTTTTTCTTTTCCCTTTTTCTYGTTAAAGTAGCCCTCCTAGGGGGAAGAGTCTATGTTAATAATGTCCTCACACTTGGACGGCTCTGAATTTAAATTTTAAATTTCAGTGTTTGTCAAATAACTCATTGTCTAGCAAATGTTGAGTTCATAGCTCCAGCCTTTGGGCACTGGGCACATAATCACATGCAGTCAAGTGACCTCAAGAGAGTATTGCCACTGCACTTAGAAGATGGGGTGTAAGTCAAAGCTGACAATGTGCTACACACTGGAACAAAGTCCTTCACCTGTCATAGCCCTTCTGGTATTTTCCTTAATTATAAAAACAGTCCTTGGAGGTAGTTCTTGTTATTTCTCCAATTTTTCTAATCAAAACACTAAAAGGGCTCAGATAATTATTCTTTGCCCTTTCTACAAATTGCCTTTGACATACCACACAGATTTTGTAACTTTAAACATGGCTCTTGGGACATCGAGGTAATTAAAGAGGTTTAGGGAATTTGTTCATCTGGCTGATTTTTTTTTCAGCTATACTTTGCTCTTTGTTTCTTTTGAGTTTCTTATTGTCCTTCTATTGTTCATGGTATTCAAAATTAAACCTGTATTCCACCTCATCCCTGCCTTCCTAGACTTTTTGAAGAAATGGGCTGAGGAGAGGGGCCTTCCACTGTTCTTAGATGTCCTCAGGTGGGCTGTAATGGCAACTGTTCTCCCAAACTGGTTCAAATGCTGCCTCACCTGGTGGCTTGCTGTGTGACCTTAGGTAAATGACTTCCCTTCAGTATCCTTCCTTTTTGTCAGTGGTGAAGTGAGACAATTTATCTATCTCAGGGTTTGTTCCTTAGGGCTGAAACACAATGATGGAAATGTTACTGGAGAAGACAACCTCTAACTCATTGACAGAAATGAAACTGAGCCAAGTGAATGTGAATGTGTACCTTTAAGAAGATTTCATTGGAAATTCAGTAGAAAGAAGAGCAGGCTGCTCCTGAACAAAGGAAGATGTAAGCTTTTTATTGATTTGCTGGGTGGTGGGCAAAAGTCTAGTAGTTTTCCACTGACCAAGGCACTGCTTCAGAAGATGTTTCTTCCTGGATGATACTTGGACCATGAGGAAGTCATAGTCAACTTTTCCCAGGAACTTCTGAGTTGCTATTGCAATTGGTACCATCATCCTGTGCAAACATCCTGGCCTTATGGCTCTGTCTGGGCCTTAAGATAGGGCTGGAGGACTTTAGATGCTTGGGCTGCTTGCTGTAGCTACTGAAAAAGCAGCAAAGGTGAGGTAGAAGAAAAATATACGAGCTCCAACAGTTGATCCAGACATGCAGAGCTGAGTGACTCTGACCCAAAAGTTAAGGCAGCAAAATGAAATGAAATGAAATGAAGAGAGAGATGCCAAACTTTTTCATCCTGTTCTAGTCACCCATCAGACATCTGAAAGCCCAAGTCCAGTGAGTGTTCCTGCCAGAAGTGGCCTTCAAGTCCCTGAAAAGGAATGTAGATAACCATTAGCATTATACCCACACATCAGAAATGTTACCTATAGCAGAGCTGGTGGGAAACTAATAATGTATTGTTCAGCTATGTGGCCTCCAAAAGTTGACTAAGATCAAGTAAAGCTAAAGGGTGTATTTAATTTTTTCCCCTCAGTAACAATTTCGTCTTGTGCAAGCATGTGTTTCTGTGGTTTTATCAGGGTCTCATGACAGGTCTGTTTAAAGAGCACCAAGATAGAGAAACAACATGCCATGCTACTAATGTTAATAATTTATTGTACCCAGGGGTTTATTTCCTTGCCCCAGCCTTTTATTCCGTCATGGTGTTCCTTGACTGCCTCAGAAAGAATACTGGACACGATGTTTTTCACAAAAACCACCAGTTCAGGAAGTAAAATGTAGACTTTTAAAATAATACAAAGGATTATTAGTGAACTATGGGTTGTTGCTCACCATGAGTCAGCTGCCCTGCACATATCATGTCTGTTCCTCTGACCCACCCTGGAAGTCAGAGTAATTTCCTTGTAGAAATGAAGAATTGGAGCTGTGATTCAATGCAAGCACTGGAGACCAAAATCAGTTTTTCTTCTGGAATATTACTACGTAACTTTCTGTGGCAGGGGCTTTGGATCTATGCAAAATTTTTTAAGAAAAATTTTAAATTGAAAATATTGTATAGGCACATGGTTACAACTATGAAGATATTTGGTATTCCTGTGGAATTTGACAAAGGATTAAGTGTGTGATGGGTTTATATGTTGTTAGCCCTCTCTTTAATAGTGTTTTTGGTAGTTGTTTGGGGGCAAATGTTTTCACCACATAAATATATTTTTACTTGGGCTTTTTGTACATTTCTTCCAGTAAGGCAAGAAGGATAAGCCATGTAGGTGGGGAGAATACTTGGGACATGCAAAAAATTTTCAAAGCTTCTGAGGCCACAATATTTAAGCTGTGTATATATAGGCCTGGCCTTGTTTGCAAGGCTCATTTTTTGATTATGGATGATACAATCTTTTTGAAATAAAATACTATTTCTTGAGATGTGACCTTGCATATCTAGAAAAAAGTAGAAGCCAAATTTACTACCTTGGCAGGTCATTCAGCACTTACAGAATCACCATCTAGAGGAAGGCCCAGGAATGTAGTATTTCTTCCTCAGCTTCCTGGGGGGGACTGCCTTCCAAACTCTCATATTCTGTTTCAAGTACAGCCTTTCCATGAAGAATGGATGGTAAGAATGTCTACTTCTTGTAGGGGAGACCTACTTGTAAGGGTATACTCTCAACAGGAAACCCTATCAGATCATAGTTAGTGAAACACAGAACTGGAGATAGCCATAATGTGACAAGAATACTTTCTTACAATACCCTCTTAAAAGTTAATCATATTTTTTTAGGTTTTATTTTATTTAACATTTCTCAATGCGTGAATTAACTTCTAAACAATATCTAGATCAAGACTGAGCTTGACTAAGCTAATCCTTTTTACACACAATCCTTTCTCCAACTCAAAGTGTTGATCCCACCAGCTGAGTCTTCCAGTCTGTTTGGATTTTTCTCTCCTGTAAGTAAACGTTTAAAGAACAGGTGCCCAAGCAGTCTAATTTCTAACTTAGGGCTATGACTCTGCCTACACTGTGGAAAAACTATTATATTAACAAAAAGCACTTTCATCCTTTCAAACAGCATCATACTTCTCCACAATCAGAGAAGGAACTCAGCTATATTTTCGAATATGTAAATATTCATTGTGATGATTCTCCCARCATTTCCATTGCACCATAAAGGAATTCAATTCTATGAATAAGTTTATTATTTTTTTTTTATTTCATAAATGTTGGAGTTGCTGTATTCTACCAGTCCCTGCAGGTTTTCAAAGGTCTTAGCTCAATCTCAGGGACCATATTTACTCTCCTTTCACAGGCTGGAGGATGGGAGCAAAGATAAGCACATCCCAAGCACATAAGCAAGTGGAACATCTGTATGGTGCAAGAACATTTGTGTGGTGGAAGCCATAATTAAGACAATTGACAGAAAACAATTCCAAGTTATTAAAAATAGATTAATATGCAAAATAGATAGAAATTACTATGGAGTTATAAAAAAGTAACCCATTTTAAAATAAGACACAGACTTTAAAAAGTGATTCACAGCATTAATACAAATAGTTCACAAGCATGTGCAAAAATCTCAATGTCCTTTTATAATAACACCATTTGAGTAAAAGTAAACAATAATTAGAAACAAGATTGTCAAAAACTAAAAACATTAATGAAGACCAATTTTGTTAAAAGGTGTCAGGGAACTATATATGGAAGCTTGAAGTGGTACTTCCTTTTGGAGGGCAATTTAGTGATTGTTATCAAATGTACAAGGTTGGGGTTTGAATATGAAAACCCTAATTAAAGCTCTCTAAGTTTCCTCCTTACAGTTTGACCTCAACCCAACAAGCAACCTAGGAGAGAGGAAAAGGACAAAAGGACCCAAGATCTCTTAGCTGGTTCTGAGCTCTAGTAGCTGAGCTGCTCCCATGCAGACTTACAGATGGTAGGGGCTGTGTAGGACAGTCTCCAAAATGGCTGCATCATAGAGCAGCTTGCTCAAAGCTATTATTCAATTATGGGAAGGGTGAGAAGCCTGGACTGCTGTCCTAGCTGATGGGACACCTATCAATCTTTTTTGGCGGGGGCGGGGAGAGTTGTGACAAAACTGATTTTGACAAGGGGGCCTGTGTGCCATTAGCATCAGAACCTTGACAGTGATCATGTTTGGAGTTTTCTATTATATTCTACYTCAGAATTAAAGGAACTCATCTACTTCTATACTTTCAGGGAATTATCATGTTAAGATGAGGCTATTTTTGAGTGTGACTTATCAGGCTGAGAAACACTGATGGATTACAAAGTTGGTGCTGGTGATTTCCCTATGCATACCTGGACCTCTCCCATCTTTCTGCCTTTACACCTGAACATACACAGGAGGGGTGGGGGAAAAAGAGCAAGGTGGGCGGGTATTAGATACACTCAGATGTGAGCTCCCACTTTTTATATTTCTGTCAAGTGCTAAGGGATTTCATATAGATTATATTGTTTAGTACATGCAGAAACCCTGTGGGCTAGTATCCCTATTTACCAGATAAGG